CTCTGTTAAATTTCATTTTACTTAGATTATAGATTTTTTTTAAAGAGATAAAGCTTTCATAATTATAGTTTATGATAAATACCGCAAGAAAGAATAATTATAATAGGTTTACCTAAACTATTCAACAGTGCTAGAATACACTTAGAATGTTTTTCATATATCAATGCTTTCAATCTTTTTCTCTATCAATTTTTAACCAAAGAGGTTTAAAGAAATTGATTTTAATCCAACATTTCTGTGATTTTAACTCAAGATATTTTACTTCTATAATGGGAAAGGCATTTATTCATAAATTACACCAATCTCTCGAATATCTTTTCAAACACTTTTTTTACTTTACCAGCAAATTTTTCAACATCTTCATCAAATATTTGGGAACTTCATGCATATTTATTATACTTGTCTGTTCTTTGAAAAATGATCACTTAAAATTAATTATGAATACTACTCAAGGTTATACAGTAAGACAATATTAATCAAAGGTTCTAAAAATTGGGATGGTTTTAAATCATAGGCTATTGGGAAGAATTGAAATCAGTTATCACTTGTATTAAATTAAATTAGAATGAGGGAATCATTAATTATATTTACAATTTATTATTTGTGCTAATTAAATAACAAATGGTTTGAGTTTTTTGAGCACTATAAAATTTTATAATTATCAACAAATTAAGTTTCTGTAAAACTCAAACTGCTTTCTGTTAGAAATTAATTTCCTTATCTCTACTTAGTCAGGTTAAAAAAAATAGTAACTAAAATAACGGATCAAAAATTTTCAACCAATGAAAAAAAATCTCAAAATTAAATTAAAACAAGAAGAATAAATTTAAGGAAATTTATAAGGAAGATACAATTTGATTCAAATAATCCAGACAAAGGATAAACTCTTAATGATCCTGGATTTTTTCCAGCAAAATTTTTAGATATCTTAATTTTAACAATCTAAATAATCATAAAAGTGTATTGTCTTTTAAACCAGTTCAATTTGAATTAAAATTATAAAGATCTTAGATAAAAAATCTAAATTCATTAAAAAAAACATAGCATTAATTGTCTTAAGTTTGACCTATTTAGAGTAATGATTCTTTATTGAAAGAATTCTAATGCTAGAATTATTATATCTAATAAAGAATGAAATTTTTTAATCACACCCATTGTTGAAGCAAATAATTTTTAGACATAAAAATTTTTACCTTTATTTTATTTACAAATCTTGGTAGATAATTAGATTATTCCTATTGCTTCAGATGAAAATAATCTAAAATATAAAATTATCGAAATTTTTACCTCATAGTTAAAGCAATATTTTTGGATATTCTGTTTTATTTGTTTTAGTGAGGTAACTAAAGGTTAAATATTGGAACGATTAAATGATGTAATAATTTAATATTTAAATACTTTTTTTTTTGAACAGTAACGCACAAGATGTAAATTGAGGATGCAAAATGTAATTTTGAAGGAGATTCTTGATACCTGAAAATAATGAAGGGATTGAAGAAATGATAAATATTATTTAGAATGTTCTGAAAGAGATTATAATAGATTTAAAAATAGGTATATTTTTAAAGGCCGAATTGGTAATTAAATCATTGCTTACTATATTTATAATTATAATTTACAAATTGATCTTAAAGGTCCATTTTGTTTACAAACTAAAGACCAATGATTGAATTAAAGAAGGAAGTAACTACAAAAAAGGGAGTTTTACCAAGATATATCTCTTACTTGAATAGAATCTAGAAAGATAATTCAAATTTATTTATAAGATTTTATACATATATATATATATCAGAAAAGTTATTGAACCAATCCTAAAGAAACTTCTGTTTTAAAAATTTGAAGGACTAATCCTCTAAAATTATTCAAGTGAATTAAGAATATGTTAACAAATATAAAATAGATTGCTTTAAAATCCTTATTTTTCAAACTCCAATATTCAATTAAATATAGAGAAAGTATATAAATTGCCAAAAAAAAATCAGTAGATAAATAAGCCGTTTGAATTCGATTTTTAAATTTTAGATAATTTTTTTTGCTAAAAAGATGTATCTTGGAATTGTTGAACTTGAATGTAATGCTAAATAATCATAAACATTTGCAGCATCGACAAATATTAAGTAATTTGTAATGTGATGGAATATTTACAATTAGATATTAG